TCTGCTTCTTCCTTAGCCTTACGAGCTTTTCTTTCTTTCTCTCTTCTAGTTCTTTACGTTCAGCTTCTTCTTTCGCCTTTCGTTCAGCTTCTTCCTTAGCCTTACGAGCTTTTTCTTTCTTCTTAAGCTCCTCTAGTTCTTTACGTTCAGCTTCTTCTTTCGCCTTTCGTTCAGCTTCTTCCTTAGCCTTACGAGCTTTTTCTTTCTTCTTAAGCTCCTCTAGTTCTTTACGTTCAGCTTCTTCTTTCGCCTTTCGTTCAGCTTCTTCCTTAGCCTTACGAGCTTTTTCTTTCTTCTTAAGCTCCTCTAGTTCTTTACGTTCAGCTTCTTCTTTCGCCTTTCGTTCAGCTTCTTCCTTAGCCTTACGAGCTTTTTCTTCATAATATTTTGTATACTTATCATCAGCCCAATTACCAAGTGATTTGGCACCTGTTAGTATTCCATTTGCGGTTGATGTTGCTGTTCTTCCGAGCCATCCCCCTACCGCTGAAGCACCATTGCCAATAGCACTACCAGCATTTAAAATTCCACGACCAATCCATATCCCTGGTTTTGCCTTTGTATTAAGAGTAAGAAATTCTTCCTTCCTATCTTCAGGTGTAGGATTTGTAACAGTTCTTACAGTATCAACAACAGTGTCAACACTGGTTCCAATAGCACTACCAACAGCTGTTGCACCAGTTAGAATACCATGGGTAACTAAATCAGTAGCTCTTGAGACAACATTATCACTCGAGGCTTTCTCTGCTGGATAGTTTGATCCTTTGTAAGTTCCTGGACCACCTCTATTTGAAGCTTCTCCTTCAACTATTTTCTTCTCTTCTTGTGCTTGTTCTCTGGCAACACTCAATGCACGTTCTTGTCTTTGAATGTTGTCTTTCTTTAACATGTAACCACCAAGTGTCTGTGGTGGTGTGTTTTTATCTAGTGCAGCATCAATTGCAGCCTTTTCTTTTCGCTTTTCTTCGTCTAACCAATTTTGAATAGATTCTGCATCAGTTGGTTCAGCTGGAGTTGGAGACGGTGTTGGAGCTTTAGTTGGTGTTGGAGACGGTGTCGGAGCTTTAGTCGGAGTTGGAGATGGAGTAGGTGCTTTTGTAGGTGTCGGTGATGGAGTTGGAGATGGAGTTGGAGGTACTGTTGGTTCTGGAGTTGGTTCAACAGTCGGTGAAGGTGTTGGCGCCTTTGTGATTCTTGGAGTTGGCTCTGGTGTTCTAATAGGGGAAGCAGTTGGTGTATTAGCTCTTTTAAGAACCTGTGATCTTTCCGCTTGATTTGAATCAGATACTGGGTTAGTTGTACTAGGATGTGATACAGGAGTTATTTTTGGTGTAGGTGTTGGTTTATTTAATGTTATACCATGACTACTCGACATTGGTGGAGGACCTGCGTGAGCAGTTGGTGTCAGAGTTGGCGTTGGAGCTACTGTAGGAGTTGGCGTTGGAGCTACTGTTGGTTCAGGAGTGGGAGTTGGTGTTGGAGCTACTGTAGGAGTAGGTGTAGGAGTTGGTGTTGGAGTCGACATTTGTTTTAACCTCTCATTATACCAATTCTCCAAATAATAAGCCTCACCCATTAAGTTACTCTGTCTTTGTTTTATAGAAAATTCACCTAACAGTAATTCATCATGAATCATTTTCTGCAGCTTTGTCGTGTTTTCTACTTCCTTTATTAGAACGCTCGATGTATTCGCCAATCCTCTATATTCCTTAATCATCTTATCTAGTTTGTTCATATTTGGTACTTCCTTTTTCTTCTCAGCGTTAATCTCATTAGATCGTTTCTCCAATTCTTCAACTACTTTGTAAAGCTTATTTATCTTGACATGTGATTCCTTTACTTCTCCAGTCCTTGGATCCTTAGGTTCCTTGTATTTAGCTAATTTCGTCTCTATATATCTTCGTTTAGCGTCATATCCAGGATCACTGGTTCGTAAAGGATGCGAAGGTGGACGAAAATAAGGTATGTAGAAATCTGGATCATCATTAATAGAAGAACGTGCTTTAAAGTTACGAACCGCGTCTGTAAAAGGGTCTCTACCACGTGCTGTATATGTTGATGTAATCAAAAAGCCTTCTCTTCTCATTGGGAAATTAATACGACCTTTTTGAACATATTCTTTCTCAAAGTATTGCCTAGCATTGTAATCAAAAGCAAGATCATTATATATATCGCGCAAAAAATCAAATGTATGCTGCTTGAACTTTTGATCGCTAATTATGGTACGAATTATCGGACGTTCATTCTCCCATTTCTTAACTCGTTCATCAATGAGTTTCCTCTCTTGTTCACTCATTTAAACCTCATAAAAATATATTATCTGCGTATAGTGCCACTAATAGCATTAATCCATGGCATGTCTGATAGTACACGTACTGACTGAACTAATGGCTTATGATTGTTCCAAATAGCTCCTCCAATGTATGCGTTATACTTATTGTTGTCAATAGTTTGTTGAGGTTGAACTATAGGTGTTTCAACAGGCTTGTCTCTACTGAAGTCACCACCAAGAGCTTTATTGAATGCTTTAAGATTCTTCGTTAATGCATTATCTTCACCTAATGTAGTTTTTGCAATTCTTTCACCAAGACTACCGATAACACCACCGACTTGACCAACTTGAGGGAAAAGTTTGTTAGCAATGTTAAATCCAGCACCTATTACAAGACCAGGATTTTTTTTCACCATACCCCATCCAGCTTTAACATAATCGCCAAAACCCATTTATTTCTTCTTAAAATAATGTCATCTTTTGTTGCTTAACTTCTTTAAAGTCCGTCTTTCCTGCAACTATATGAACTTCCATATATGAACGAGGTGTTGGTAGCTCTTTGTATTTGTTCCATAACTCTTCCCAATCTTCTGTTGCTCCTGACTGTTCAATCATTGACTGAAAGTCTCTCATAGAATAACCTTGAAAGATAACGAAGTCAGTGCATAGTCTCTTAATGTTTAAACATATTGTCTCCATGTTTGACACATGATGACAACAGTATAGTTATAATGTCTGACCTTAGTGATGAAGTTCGCTAATGGTGAACGTGGGTCATTCAATAAGTCATGACCACCATAATCGTCTAACACTAATAGAGAATTACTGGGATACTTTGTGAAAGGATATTTGTTCAACTTCTTTACAACATATATTGCAATCTTCTTATACTCAAACTTTCCATCAGGTTTCCTTAGTTGATGCTTTGTTAAGATGTGTTCCATCTCCTCTGAAATTTTTTCGAACTTACTTTGAACGAACTCAACAATAGCGTAATACTTTGCTTTCATCTTAACGTTCTTCATTAAATAAGGCATAAGTTCTTTATCATCCTTTTTCAGTACTGGTGCTTTAACTTGACTCATAAATGTCTTCGCTGTTTTATCCATTGTTCCTGATGTTGCTGAGATAACTATTGAGTCATAATATGGAGTATTAGTGAAGCGGTCTGTTATCATTATATGACGAATAACACCATATGTCTTACCTGAACCCATCTTACCGCAGTAGAAATAAACACCATTAGTACAAAATGGATAATCATCAGAAAATGGCATAATGAGTGCATTGTTTAGTTCTTTACTATTCTTACGTGCTCCATCATGAAGAATCTTATCTACTTGATTAATAACTTTCTCCATCTTTTAGTTACATATAAAATGTCTAAATATGATGGATTATACTATGAACATGTTATGAATGATGGCACGATAAGTGGTAATACAGTCTCATATAAATTACCGAGAGACTTCATTGAATATCCTGCGTCAAAAGCTCTTGAGATAAGAAAGATAAGTCTTGAGCATCCAGACTTTGAGTTTCTTGCTATTCCATTAGAAATGACAGATTCATCAAAATCAGTGAAAAAAAGGTTTGACATGAGATATTACATAAAACCCAACATGACTACACAGGAGTTGAATGAAGGTCTTATGGAAAAAATGACTGAGGCAAGTAGAGAATTTGTTGATTGTTACTATGATTCAAATGAAAATAAATTGAATGTATTAAGAAAAGGTACATCACCAATCATAACATTACCTTCATACAGTAGTATAGAAAAAAATGCCTTGAATTATAAATATGACATGTCCCTAGGAGATGTGTTGGATTTCATCACTGCGTTATTAGAAACCACTGAAACAGACACAACATCAAGAAAACCAGAGCTTGTTTGGGAAGATGACCATGGTAGAACATTCACGCAAAAAGTAATTCCATCGAAAGCAAAATTTTTAGACTTATGGGAAAAAAAATATATCTCGCGAATGCATGTATATTATAGTTTTACCATAGCAGATTTCACTGACGAAAATGATAAAGATAAAAAAACATATAAGTACTTTGATGAGCTTTTCATAACTATAGCGAATATCAGGTTTATCCTTGAGCGAAAGGGCAAACCAACATATAAATTTGTCGGTTATCAGATAAGAATAAATCCTCTCCTTGAGCCTTTAGTAACGTTGAGTAATATTGCTCATGATAACAAACAATTTATATGTAATGTGAATGAACAGCTTGTGCCACCAAAATTTTACGATATCACTGGTTATAAAGATGCACTCGTGTTTGAGTTTTATAAGCGCTTTTCATTCAAAAGAGTTGAAGAATCAACTGATGGTCAAAAAAAGGAATATTATGTAAAAGAACCATATGAAATTCCTAAAGACTCTAATATAATGGTTGAACTTATATTAGAGTCTGGTACTCAATCTCAACATAAATAGTTTACGTGACAGAATTTTTTTGACACGTAAAGTTTACATTTTAATGGAAGCGAACAACACAGCTCCTGCTAGTGAATAAAGGTTAGTTTACATATGAACGTTTATTTTTACACATATATGCGTACATATGCGCGCCCGTATGGTGTCAGTTTTCTGTCACTTTTTTCATTGTGTCGGTGCCTGTAGCTGTAGGCTACAGGCGACGCACAATGTATACTGTACTGAAGATAAGTGTAATTAAAGTAAAACATTTAGTGTCTTATAGAGGGATCTAACAATTAATTCATGATGAACTCATAATTTGGAAATACTTTGTGAAGTTTAATGTATAATTTGCAGGAATGTAGAAGTGTTCCTTTCTTACTTGCTTTATATTCAAGACCTGAAAATGATTCTAGATCGTGTCCATTTTCTTTCAAAAGGTGTGCCAAGCGCGTTTTTGCATCAATTTTACCCTCTCTTGTAATGAGTAATCGTATTTCTTCTGTTTTTTCTGATTTGTCTGCCATATCATTAGAATCGATTTTCTCGCTTTTTGATTTATTTGAATTTTCGACTTCTTCGCTTTTTATTAATGACATGCGTAATGGTTTCTCTTCGTTAGTTGATGGCTCTGCTTTCTTAATAATTTCATCTGATTTAATCAATTTTGACTTATCTGCAATATTGAAAAACTCCTTCTTTCCTAGAGCTTTTACGAGTTCTTTGTACAGTTCGCATTTGTTATTTAGTATTCCGTTATCTAAAAAATCATACTTCAATTTATCGAATTTTTCGATTGGGACATTAGCTTCCTTTAGCGCAAGGGCTGTTTGTGTGCGTCCATCAATACTACCATTCTTTTTGATTCGGATATTCAGAGTAGTTGACATTTAAAGAAAGTGACAATTCAAATGAATATTAGAAAATGCATTCTTTTCCCAGCCCAGTTTTTCAATATCCCAGATCTCAACACTCCATTGTCAACAATACCTATACCACACATTATTATCTGCATGACTATCATTTGTTCCTCATTCTTCTTAATAGTTGGCGGATTTATCTACTGCGTGATTCGCGGTATAGAATTTATACCTTACGACTGGACACCTGATGGTAAAATGGTGCCTGTCTATATCGCAGCGCATTATGAACAGACTGGTATTGAATCACTTATTATAGGATCATTGTTTACCTTAGGAGGTTTAACACTTCTCTGCGGTTTTATAGGTGTATCGAATATCAATAAAAAAACTTCGAAAAAGCGAAAAGAAGATGAAAAAGACGTATTTTCATACATCGCATTAACATCATTCATTTGGATTGCCATAGCAATCTTGATATTTACAGCTAAGATGGGATATAGCACCATTAGGTTTACTGCTGTTTAGAAAATTAATATTAATTGTTTTTTATATCAATACATTGTTAGATAAACTAATATAGTATTTTATTACTATCATTTACTATGATTGAGCTTAATTGAAAAATTAATTTTTATTCTTTTGTGGATTAATTCTAAGCTGTGAAATATGTGTACATTGGACCTCAAAATATTTACTAGTAATATAAGACAATGTTGTTAAATCTATTATCAATATTTGGTTAAAAACTTTAAAAGGAAGTATTGAGATGAACTCGCCATAACTTTGTTGATTATAACTACTTCTCCAAGTTAATATTATTGATAAAATATAAAATTTGACATATAATTTTTCCAAATATATGAATAATTCGGAAATTTTTAATCAAATTGTATTTAAGTTCAAAATCTATTAATATTGCTGCATTCGAAATCTCTAAATTCTTCCAAATTTTTTATGAATTTTAAAAAATGAGTCAAAAAATTTAATTTTTTGTTACAAATTTTTGGAATCAAAAATATATTTGGAAAAAATTCGATATTCCCAAAATAATAACGACCTTCTGTACTACAAATATTCATAGAAATAATAAAAATTTTGCGAAATAAAATTCAGATTGATCCCAATTATGCTTTATCATTCCTAAATCCTACTTTATTTGAGTTAACCATATGATAATTAATAACTATCTGTTTAGTAACAAAATTTATAAAAAATTGAAACAGTAAATTCTTTATAAAACAAACAAAATTAAACACCCACAAGCTGGTCATCAAACTCCATTTCAGAAGCAGGCTTACTAGAGTCATCTGCACTAAATTCTTGTACAGAAAGCATGTAAACGATTATCAAGAAAGGAATATCAACAATGTAATTGTGGATAATTAAAATAGCAGTTCCAACGTATTTGAATAACGAAAGGTTGATATACCTCAACTGAAGAAAATAATAACTATCTAAAGCGCCATCGATAATAGTACCTATGAATATTCCAATTCCGACGGACATAATAGATATTTTCATTGGAGTTCTGAGTTTTGGAGGAAAATAATTCTGGATATTCGACTGGACAAAGCAAATTCCAAGAATTATGATGGATAATGCGAATATTGTTACTTGTAAATAGTTTACCGTATTTAAGTATCCTTGTCCGTATAAATACCTTTCAAGCTTCTGCATTATTTCGGTTTCAATTGGAATAATTATTGACCGTACAAGTGTACTAATTGCGAACACATATTGTAAAATTTTCGAAATAACATATAACACTTTGGCTCCAAATGTTCCAAAAACAACGAGAATTTTGCAAACACATGCAAAATATAGAGCAAGTGAGAATGTGTATAAGTCTTCCCAAACTTTAGATAGTCTGTTATAGTAATCGTGGTCGTTAAAATGTTGATCATAATAAAAGGCATATTTTGAAAGCATCTTCAGTCCCATAGTTACAGGAAATGTAAAACAGTAGCAAAGATCAGGTAAAGCGATATGTCTTTTAATTGCATTTGTTTCTCGTAATAACTTTATTCCAATATATAAATAAGGCAGCATTAGTAAAAGGTTGATAACGATAGCTGCATATTGCGAAGGATGGTCACACACAAATGTAGTTTTGAGTGTGCAATTTATCAAGCAATTAGGGAAATCGATCAAATAGCTATTACTACTCATTTCATAAAATTTAACCGCACTTTCCTTTGAAAATGATCCGCAATAAGATTTTGATTTTAGATATCAAATTAAAATTCAATAATTATGATCTTGGAATAACTCAGACGGTGTAGCACTTAAACCACCATAATTTGGGGAAAGGTGCATTTATGAAAGGTGACACATTGCCCTTATTTGGGGTCTGTGCCAAGTAAAAAAAAATTACATCATTAAAATTTCGATTGTCACTGATTTGTTACCATTATTCGATATGTAGTATTATAAAAACATCATATTTTTGAATTTTAAGGGTTCCGACCGACCACCTATCTCCTCTCAATTTTCATCAACTTCATAGCATCTTGTTGGCTCACATGATAGATATCTTTCTTTGCTACCATACACAATATGATAGTAATACTTCATATAAAGATATATATATATGGTAGGTGAATCTCAAAGTCACCATATTGCCTTAAAGAAAGCATTTTTTCCCATCATTTCTTCATTTTTCCTTATTAAAAGTACTTGGTAAAATGCCTCGAGTTGCACCTAAAAAATTCGATTTTTTCGACTCTACGGAAATGAAATCAGGACAAAGTGTATAAAATAATTGCAGTTAAACTCTGCTTCAAAAATCAAATAATTAAGAGATATTGAATTTGATTACATTAAAATATGCTTTTCTAGCAAATACAAATAAATGTTATGCATCTAAACCTAATGAAGCATATCGTTGTTGAATGAACATCCACATTTTACTTGCCCCTATACAAAAATAATGAAAATAAGAATGAGATAACTAGCTCATTTCCAATTAAGCCTGCCATAATATCCAACTCAATAATGTTTAGCATATTTCGTTTCTAGATATAATACTCTACATCACAATTGTGATAATAAAAATATATCTATAGTGTGATTACGTCAGGAGCCATTGCAAGTAGCATATTTCAATCAAAAATGCAATAAAAGGATTTTCTTCGCACTAAAATCCATCATTTATTTGGAAAAGTATAAAAAAATATTAGATCTTGTTTTGACAAAATTACAGCTTGGAATATGAACATAAGGTGTTGATTAAAGCTATAATATTACTGGTTTCATAATGATGATAAACGTACAATTTTTTGATTAAATTTCAAAATTTCTATCTAGAAACACCAAAGCAAGAAGGTTTCCATATAATCCATTACTCACTAAACAAGCAAGATATCCCAGCTTGGAAGCAATTTAATCAATAATTCCATTTATTGATATTTTTTATTTGATTTCAATTAACTCTCTCGCAAACAATAGATTTTTACTCCGTATTCTCCCTTAAAAACCTAATGGTATTTCTTTGACAAGTTACTAAAATAGTTTCAAAACATTTTTAGCATGAATTATGAATTATCTCATAAAGTTATTAAATATTACCACTCTGGCTCTACAAACATTTCTATTTCGGCACCACAAAGACTACTTTGCTAGCATCAAGTACAATCTTTTGAGTTTGAAGATCTGAAAATCTTATTTTTGCTTTGTGAAAAAATGATAAATAGATTCATAATCTCTGATAATTAATAATACTGTTTATAATAAAATTATAAGCTAATTCGTTCTTTAGTCTGCCTACTTCTTTGTCACGTTTCACTTCATTCTGACATGTAAATTCAACCAATTTTGCGTGTCAAAATTTTTTATTTTCGAATTTGGCATCAATATATGCATATATATATGTCATAGATTATCCCATTAAAATCTTAAAAACATCGGTTGAATATTCATGATTTTTCTCACTCAAATGGTTTTGATTTATCTGTTATTTAATCTTATGGTTTTAATTGATTTAGAATAAAAAAGCACTTTTCATGGATCGTCCTCACAAAAAAAATATGTTCTTCACAAATATTTGATATAATTGAATTTCATTTTATTGCTATCGAAAACACCTATAGATAAATCATGAGCCATTTATTAATATCGAGTTTATACCCAAATTCATCTTAATTTGAATACCCTTTGAAAAGCAAATTGTAAGGAACGTAAGTAAACAACATTATTAACGATTATTTTGGTGGAAATGTTATTCTCATAGAATGAATTATAAGTTCCGTAATCTATATTTGATTGAATGAATTTTAGGAATTAAAACTTTGGAAAATAAATGATAAATATGAGATATATAATTTCCCATTCAAAAAATTTATCAGTTAATTTTTGAATTGACAAACTGCAATTTTACGTTTTAGCATTATCCGTATACTATTATCCTAAATTTATAAAATATTAATGAATCAATCAAGCCATTTGCAACAATCTATAATTTTTCAAACTTTCATAAATTTATTAACGGGACTATTTACTTTAAATATTGTTATAGGAGTTGAAAAAACTATATAAATAAATTTCCGATTGGATAAAAACGCCACTAATTTGGCATTATTTATGACAACCTTTTGTTTAACTATAATCAATTCATATTGAGGACTGAAATATAATGAGTTTCCCGAAAATAAATACATGCATTCGAATTTTTGCATTTCGATATTTAAACAAAGCGAAATGATTTAAAATAAAATGGATAAATTAAATAACATGTTGAACTGTAAAATAAATTTGAAATCGAAATCATAAAATCATTAGTAATATCAAATTTATCAAAAATATTACATAAATTTTATAATTATCCATTTGGAATGAATAGTCCATTTAAAATATTACTCATTTTACTTCTTAGAATCTATTTTAAATTTCTGCTTGTTTTTTAAACAGAAATTTCATAATAACAATTTTAATTTTTTTTTATGTTTCGAAAATACATAGGGGTTTTCAAAACATGGACCGGATGAAAATTTATTCATTTTGGATGTGTAGGCAAGACCACTAGTACAATGGTCCTAAAACTAATTCTAATGCATCTTTTTTTTGAAAAATCTTATTTTCTTATCTTCTAAATTGCACCATTGTAAGGATGTCAATTTGGAAGAAAAGTGAGAAAATTCCTAAAATGCTAAAAATGAATTTTCCAAACGTACTTTTTTATCTCATTTTTTTGATTTTGAAAAAAATTTGGAGAGAAGAACTCTTCGTTTTTGAATTTTGTCACGATGGTTTTAAAGTATATTAGACACATGTATTGATATTACTATTTTTGTATATTTTGAGAGAAAATCCCTAAAAAGTGAGAAAATCTGAGACGGTTTGAGAAAATATATAAACTATTGAAAATTTGAATTAAACTTCTAATTTGGAAAAAAGAAATTTGGAAAGAAGAAAATTCAAAAATCGAGATTTAGACTCAGTATCAAATGGAGAACAAAATATTTCTTCATATGAAGGAAAAAATTTTCTTGAGAAGAAATAGAGTTTTTAAAATTTTATTGTATGTAATGAAATAAACAAATATTAAAATTATTTTTTGATAACAAGAAAATTCCCAACAGAAAATATTTGAGACAAAGAAAAAAAGAAAATTGAAAAATATTACTCTCCTTTACATTTCATGAGATTTTCAATTTATTTTCATAAAATTGACAATTTTATACGTTTAGATGAAAATAAGTGATTTTGCTTGAAATAAAAATTATTGTTTGTTTACAGCTATCAAATAGATTTCTGCTATTTTGATTAAAATTTGTTAATCAAATTAATAATTTTTTTCTAAATATCTTAAATATCTGGATCACTCACTGATACGATGAATTAAACGATAAAAATAATACAAACTCAACTAAGTTTCCTGTCTTTCAACCAAAAAATATTATGCAATTTAAATTAAATTGTTTATTCAAAGATAAAACAAAGATAAAGTAATTATAATTATCATATACTTTATGAATAACTCTGTAATTGGTTCAGATTTTCGTACAAATATTTTTATTAATATCGATAAGAATATGTTTACCTACTATCACCATATGTCGATAAACGAGAGTAGAGTGATTTTTATCATCGAAACTTTTTAAAAGCTGTAAGCAGGAAGTAATAATCTTGTTTTTTCTGAGTTAGTTGTAGAACTATTGATGCCCGAGTTATCATTGTGATGTAGAAGGATGTCAATGTACTGACTGAAGGATATGAATTGAATTGAATTTTATTGAATTTCAATTTGATCAAAATTTTTTGAAATGATATGAATGTGTCAACTTCTGTATCATTCTCCTTCACTCCTTCCTTATTCTTTCGAGAACGAAGCTAGCTCAGCTTTCGCTGAGCGAATTGACACTTTTCATGCCCTAAACGTATATACTCTCAAATTTATCGAAAAAATTAATACCACCTAAACTAGTATATTCTTATTTTAAATATGATATTATCCTTATATTCCACACTAAAATTCATTTAAATCAACTTTTTAAAAAGTTCGAATCCTGCGCGTCTCACTTTTTAAATTTTCCAAATGGAAAATTATATTCTCCTAAAGTGAAAACAATTTTCCAAATTGACTTCCTTAACCATTGATATTATTTTGTTACATTTTCTAATATTTTAACCCCATTCGTGAAAATCGGATTTTGGGAAATATCGTTATCGTCTGCAACTTGTTTCGATTTTTTTGAAGCTTTATTGCAAACGAAATCCAAAAATTATTTGAGAAATTGCATATCAAGATGACACAGATTTAGAATAAGCGATTATATATAGGTCTTACCATATAAAATTTCGAAATTAACGATAGCCTTTGTTTTGGGCATACACTGGATCCTTAAAAATGATCGGGCTTGATTCTGAGCCACTTGTACAATCATTATCAAGCAGTATTAATCCAGATAATTATCTTGATGAGAAAATATATCAAGAAGAAACACCATCTGATTCTAGAATACTCGATTCTGTCCAAATTTTATGTAATACAGCAATTGGCTCAGGAACTCTGATGGTACCATATTGTTATACATCAGGTGTTGGCTCATCACTTCTTATGTCATTACTTTTTGCCTTCATAGGCTTTGCTACACTTTCATTTTTCTGTTTAGCATCACATTTCACAAAAACTTACGATTATAACGGACTTTTTACTACAACATTTGGAAAAGGATACGTTTGGATTGTACAAACTATGATTTTCCTTGTACAATTCGGATCATGTATAATTTATTGCCATTGGATTGGCAGATTAGTTCCAAAAACAATTAATCACGATGACGATCCAGGAATACTTGGAAATCACGTATTTTGGATCCTCATCTTTGCTGCAGTTTTTGTTTTCCCATTAGTTTGTCTGAAATCAATCAAATATCTTCAAAACCTTGCATATTTATCAAGCGCATGCATCATACTTTTAATTATTCACGCAGGATACTGGTTTATTTACGGCCAAGTTAAACATACAGTTGATATTTCGGAAAAAATCGTTTGGTTTAAATTTTCACCAGTACTTATTACATGCATGTCAGTATACTCCATGGGATTCAACTGCCACATGAATTTATACCCAACTCTCGAGCATCAAAAAGAAGCCACATTTAGGAAAGGAGTTAAGATCGCTTTCTTTACAGATCTTGTCGTTTACATCGTTTACAACGTATTCGGAATATTTACTTACCTTTATCTTTTCGATAATTTGAAGAATGGATCAGCACTTGAAGCCTACACACAAACAAACATACTTACTAACATAACAGTTGGTGGTATTGTGTTTGTAATGATCCTTTCTGTTCCAATTGTCATTTGGGCTGCAAGAATTTCAATAAATGACATGTTCTGGGGTAATCAACCAACAACGATGAGATGGATATTGATGGCTTTCTTCCTTACGGCAGGATCTGCTGGTTTCGCTGCTTCAAGTGACAATGTTATATTTTTCTTCGATATCGTCGGCGGTTTGTTTACACCAGCCCTCATTTTCCTTCTTCCATGTCTGTTTTATCTGTTGAATCAGCATGATGAACCATTTTGGAGGATTTTTGTTGCTTGCTGCATTTGTATTTTCACAGTCATTGTTACGATTGCTTGCACGTATCAGGCTATCTTGGAAGTTGTTAATGCTTTCAAGAACAAATAAATATCTAAATAAATATAGTTCTTTTCTCTTTTATTATTTAATAATTTTTTTTATACATCAAAATTAAGTATTTCTTAGTTTAGATAATTTTGAGAGTCAATGTAAAGAGTTTTATTTTAAATAAAATTCAAGTTTTTATTAAAATCAAATCAAAAATGATTTTTGATCATTGATTCAAGGAATTGTAGCAAACTATTTTTAATGCTGTTGATATTAATGCTTGATTTGATTCATTAAAATGAACAGAATCATGATTGCAAAACAATTATTGCTTTTCATGATAAAGAAATCTATATTTGACTACTATGTCTATATGAATATAGTTCATTTCTACTCAGAAATAGTGTTAAAAAATCTAAATTTATTCTGCCAAATTAGAGAAATTTACTGCTTCAACAAATGAGGTTTTATAAACTTTGTTAACAATAATTTTGATGTCATCCAAATCTAATTCATCTTCTTTAAATTTTTTACGTGAATCTTTTTCATTTTTTACTAAATTATAAGAAAAATATGTAGCAGGACAATAATATGTTGAATAATGAGATATATAGAAATCAAATGGTTGAATTGGTTCATATGTAGCTGCATTATTACTTATAGTTTGAGTGACATCATTATTAAAGTAACAATTAACAACAGATTTTGGTTTTGAGTCAAATAAATATATTCCTTTGTTTCCTATGAATGAACAACTTGAATATGAACATTTAATATCACAATCAAAAATTCCAGAACTTCCTATGAATTTATTGTTTAAATAATTACATTTTGTAATATTAAAATTACTACCATAATTTGAAATTACATTATCATCTGTAGAGGTTGAATTTGATGCTGTTGTGAAGTTAATTACTCCTGTTCCTGTTGGAATTTGAATAATATATGAAGCCATTCTAGTAATTTCTTTGTGTTTAGATGTATTCATGTTACTTACTTGGATATCTCCATAATCATGAAAAAGAGAAGAACCGTAACCTTTGCATTGTGAAACTGAACATTCAAATGCATAATTTTTGTTGTTACTATTTTCAACTGAATTAATGTAATATCCACATCCCCATAAATTATTTGAAACAATTGATGAGAGTAAACAACAAATACGAACTAAAACACAGTTAGATTCATAAATATAGAATGATCCACCACTTTTTGTGGAGCTATTATTGTAAAATGTGCACGTTTCGAGTAATACTTTGCTGTTGGAATTAAGGTAAATTGCTCGATTTTGGTAATGGAAAGAAAATATCGCATGATGAATGTAATAATTGCCATTCCCTGATATAGTTTCGTTCTCTGTTTTATGAATAGGCTCAATAGAGCCGTAATAATCGGAAAAACTTTGTTGAAGGAGCAAAAATCGTTGCTGAATGATTTATTTTGTTCAACATGCATTTCTGAGTTTTGTTTCATGTGAATAATGTCGAAATTATCGTTATGTATGGCTAGTTTTGGTCAGGAAATTGATTTAATTTCCCATTGGAAAATTTTAAAAAATTTTTGAGAAACAAAGACAATGAAAATCTAGACTCAAACACAAATATTATAAGTGTATTTGCTATTTTAACGTTAGTCACGTTGAAAAAATCGAGTTAGAAATGAAATTTGTGAAGATTCGGAGTTTATGATCTTCATGGTGCCATTTAGATAAATATCTTCATCATTGTTTGATCGAAAACGGGAGGATAACAATTTGTAACCAAGAAATCCACAGACGAATAAAATAAATCCACCAATAGCTGTACCAATAATAAATAACAATATAAGACCTATACCGAATTTACCAATTTCTTCGACATCAATGACAGCCTCTCTATCTTCTCCTTGTTCATGATTCAATGAGAAATGTGTATTTTCTAATAATCCAACTGCATAATACGCATTAGAATACTTTGTATCATCAATAACATAGTGGAAATCTGTATTTCCACCAACTGTGAATTTGATACTTGATTTGATATCTGGTTTATAAATGGAGACAACAACTGAATCTTCAAACTTATTTTGATATGAAATTTCATTACCTTTGACATCATAATACTTAGCATTTTTATCTTGACTTATTTTAATGTTTCCTTTATTTGTTACTGCATAAATACAGTAAGAGGAATTAGGGTCATATTCTACTTGGTAATTGATCTTTCCAAACATTGTAATGATTCTTTCACAATGTAAATTAGTTGAATTCTTGATAACAACAAATGATGTATGATTGTTTCCATTGAATCTTATGTAGCCATCATAATAAAATGAATACGCTATATAATGTCTAGAATATGGTGAAGAAGATCTTATAACATTCTTTCCACTGTTGACAGATGAATTAAGTTCGCCGTGTTTAGTCAAAAGCAAATATGAACCGGCAGGAATCGTTAATATATATTGATCATGGACATCAATATCGTAGTTACCGTATTTGAACTCGATAATATCATCAACAATTGCTTTACCTAATAAATATGAATCATATGATGGAATATGATAAATATCTGTTTGAGATTTATTTGTTCCGTTGTTAATTCCAAATTTATAGTCAAATTCAACTGATTGTATTGGGAATTGTACTAATAATGTGGTGTAGTCAAGAGGAATTTCTTGTTTTTTGGGCAAAATTTTATAAGATTTTCCATCAATAAAAAAGTTATCATAAATTAATATATTGTGATCAATATAGTTCATATAGAAAATTGATTTTGAAATATGCGAATTGGCAAAAACAAAACATAAATTATCCTTGATGAAGGATGGATCAATATCAACACAATCGTTGCTATATTTGTTCAAAATGAAGTCTGATTTATCACATTTGCCTTTCTAGAGTTGAATAAATGAGTAATTTAAATAATTCTTGTTGGATTTGATCGTTAATGTTGTTGGATTAGTGTAAACATGCTTGAGATCACGATCATTTATCTTAAAGTTTTCTGAATTTGTGAAAATGACGAAAGAATCGAAATCATCTTTTTGAGCAAAGGTCAATACAAGCTCTGAATCTACTAAATCAGAATATGCACCTGGTACTGATACTTCTTTAGCACCGGCAAGTGAACAGAGGCACAACAAAAACATAATAAACGGTGATCCAACTAAATTCAAAAAATTGGATCATGAGCGGCATTTTTGACAAAAATCTTCGTACTATATCATACATCAAAATTTAATGGAAATAAAATTCAAAACTATTTATCAATTCTTAAAGACGGTACAAATTGTTCTTTCAGAATTTGAAAAACTTTCAGTGGTTGAAATTTTTTCTCCATTGAAAAGGAATCCTTGAAACTTAATCACTTCAAAGTCTCTGCTACTAATAGCATCATTGCTAAACTTCCACAGATTTTAATCCATACGATATCATGATACGATATGAAATTTTCAAAATTCATTCATTTAATTCGAATTTCTACATATAAATATTATTTACATTATCAATATATCTTTTTCACATATTTAATCCTTAATATTTTCTCAATAATAATATGTTACCAAATTTATTATTTTAACACTCAATACATAACTATTAATATTTTATGATAAAAGTCAAATATGACAATATAGTTCAATTATATGAGCTTGACTAATGTTTGAATATATTGATATTTCTAAATTTTATATTTATTAAGATTCCATGATAATGAACACAAGTATCCATACTAAAATTAAGTATTGATATATAGATTTTTGGAAAAAATAAATATTGAATTTAAAATAATTTATTTTCATAATAAAACAATTACCCATGATTGATAACGCAAGATTATCCTTTTGATGCATCTGTATTTACCTTGAGACTTTATTTTACTTTTTCATATATTTCATACTCATAAACCTATTGACATAATTTTTCAATTCCTTGATTAAACATCCTCGGATACATCGTAGAATTTACTTAACAAAACACATAAGTTACTGAGACTGTATGGATCAATTTCAAACAAATTGTTGCTGTATCTGGACAAAATGCTGCCATAGAATGACCAGATACACAAATGCCATTTATTTGGACTCAATTCCGATATGTGTCATCACAAAATAATATCTGTAATCTTGGGGAAGGAAATAAAAAAATAGTGACCGTTTATTTTATCTCGAATGTCAATGGACGAGCGAATTCCATCCCCTAGATTGACATTTGACGATGATTTTGTAGGACAAATATCAAAAGAAACCAATAGAGATGAAGTAACATCGATTATTTTTGAATTTTCACCATCGAAAGGCTGTATATCGAAAATCTCACCAATAAAATTATACCAAAATATCAAAAATTTGTCTTTAATTGGACATTATATTAGCGATTTAACAAATTTACAAGGAATTGTATCTCTTGAAAACTTAAATTTATCATATAACAAGATCAAAGATATTACTCCCCTTACAAAATTACCAAAATTACGCTCTTTATCATTAAATCACAACGAAATATCGTCATTACCACGCTCCATTAAGAATAATCAGAATTTATATCAATTAAGAATTTGTTATAACCCGATAAATTCAAGAAATGAATTAACAAAGTTACATCCATTAACTAGTTTATCGGCATTAGATATTGAAGGTACTCCAATTTCGCAAGATAAATCAACAAATCAATACGTTATCTTCTTAATGCCACAAATTAATATATTAAACCGTGAAAATATTACATTCGAAGAAAGAATGAAAGCCATGGAACGATTTGGACGCCAAGAAGCAGAAGAATTAACGCAAGAAAACGATAATCTTCGCGAAAACATTGAAAACCTAAACAAAGAGATAGAATCGTTACAAAATAAGATCAAGGAAAATCAAAATACACCTCAAACTCAACAGCAGTACGAAGAGATGAAGAAAAAATACGAAAATTTGAAAATAGAAAATAATTCTCAAAAAATTTTGATCGATCAAAGGACAGATGAGTTAACTAAAGCTAGACAAGAAATTGGGAAGCTCCAACAAGAACTAATGGGAGATGACTTGCCAAACGACAAAGCATTCAAAGATATTTACAAAGAAAGTCAAGAAAAAATCGTGAATTTACAAACAGAAAACAATCAACTGAAAAAGGATCTTGAAAATGCAAAAACAGAACAAGAAAACTTAAATCAGAAACTTAACAATCTAAACAATAATCTTAATGATAATTCTTTATTGAACAAATCTTTAAATGATCAAATAAATCAACTAAAAGTTGAACTACAAAAAATGCAAAATACAATTTATAAAAAAGACGGAGATCTACAAGAAAAAGATGATGAAATAGAACAACTCAAACAAACACTTAATGCACAGAAAACATTTAGTAATGAATTGGAAGAAACAAATAAAAAACTAAAAGAAATGTTGAATCAAAATTCGAAAAGTGATTTGACAAATTCTTCATTTTTAAGTTCATTTAATCTAACAAAACAAAGATTAAATGATACAAAACAAGAGAACGAACAACTCCAAAACCAATTAATGCAATTGCAACAACAGTTATTGATACTAAAACAAGAAAATGAAAATCTCAAAGAAAAACAAAATTCTTATTCTGATTCATTGAATAATTCAAGTAACATGAGTGCTTTGGATATAAGTGGAAGTGATTTTGTACAAATAGATCAAGCAATCATTGATCAATACGAGCAAAGAATCAAATCATTGACTGATAACATTTCAGAATTAAGAGAAAAAATTTCTCAAAAAGAAAATTCAGAAAAATCAAATGATTCGCAAAGAAGTTTAGAACTAATACAACTTAAAAAAAGTCTCGATAAAGCAAAGAAAGAAAACTATTCCATTAAAGAAGAGAATTTCAAATTAAATCAGTTGCTAAACAATTACAAACGAAAAATTGACAATTTAAATCAACTTCTTAATGATTTAAATCCAAAAGAAATCAAGTTATTGTTAAGTTCATTAAAGAAAGATTTCTTATTAAAGAGAGATGATTTCATAAAATACATTAGAAAAGCTAAAAATGAAGTAAGAAATGCTTTGTCAGAAAATTCGGATTTAATTGAAAATCTTCAAAATGAATTACTAAATATGAAGGAGAAATTGCAAAATTCCAAAGCAGAAAACAAACAAATTTTATCTTTGCAGCCAAAAATTAATGATTTGAATAAGATAATGACACAAATTCAGAAAGAAAATGAAAGATTGCAGAAAACAAATAAAGAGAAAAACAATGAAATTGAGAAACTTAAAGATGAAAATGAGAATTTAGTTTCGAATAATAAGAAACTTCAAACAGAAAATAAGGAACTTAAAGAAAATTTAGAGAAAGAAACATCTCAAAATTCTGATTTATTGAATGAAAATTCTGATTTGAATGATAAACTTAATGAACTTAGAAATCAAATCAAAACATTGAATGATGATAAGACAAAACAGAATCAATTACTTCAAAAGAATCTTTCAAATCAACTTAAAGATCTTTTGGATGAAAATAATTCACTTAAAGATCAATTAGCTCAACTACAATCATCTAATAACCAACTTCAAAAAGATATTAAAGATTTAACTCGTCAAAATGAATCTAAAACAAAAGAACTGCAATCTAAAATCAATGAAAAAGAAAATGAAAATCAAAACTTGACAGAAAAATTGAATAGTTTACAAAGTCAAATCCAAATTTTGCAAAATGGAAATGAAGATTTACAAAATGACATAGAAAGCATCACAAATGCATTGAATCAATCCCAAAATGAGAACAAAGAACTAAAAGAAGAAAATCAAAAAATCGAAAAATCAAATCAAATATTACAATATGAAAACAAAGAAGTTAAAGAACAAAAAGAGAAGCTTCAAAACCAAATTGATGATTTAAAGAATCAAAACTCGAATTTACAGAACAAAGTTGATGAATTAAATGAAGAAATATCTTCAATCAATGAAGAAAAATCCAATCAAGAAAAAGAATATCAAGAAATGTTGAAAGATTTAGAAACTAAATTGAAGAATTTAGAAGCAGAAAGATTAGAATCAAACAAAGAAATCACAGAGATATTAGAGCTTGATACAACATTTGATGATTCTACAATAAGTGATCATCTTAGAAAACAATGTGAACAGTTGAAATCTTTGATTGAACAAAACAAAAATCAAAATGAAGAAATTCAAAATCTCAAGTCGCAAAATGAAGATTTAACAGTTAAAAATGAGGAAATGAAGAAAGAACTGATGAATAACCAAACAACAATTTGTGATTTGATTAAAACATCAGAAGATAAAGATAAAGAAATTGATGATCTCAAACAAAAGATTGAAAAACTTAAATCTGAAATTGATAATTCGAAGAAACAATTGGATACAACATTAACAGAATTCAAAGTCAGTAATTTTGATGAATTACAAAGCCAAATTTCGAGAAATAATGATGACAAGAAGAAACTCGAACAAAAAGTGCAAAATCTTCAAAAAGAAAATGAAGAAATGAAAATTAAACTGGAGAATAAAGAAAATGAAAGAAAATCTTTATCTTCATTAGAATCAGAGAATATTCTCTTGAAACAGAAGCTTCAAAATAATGACAAACTACATCAAATACAGATTGGTGAATTACAAAAAGAAATTGATGTTTTGAACCAAACAAAGTCAAAGTTGTCAAAAGAAGTTGATGATATTACTAATGAAAACATCACATTAAAGAATCAAATTAACACAACATTTTCGATGTCAATTGATGAAAACAATGAACTTAAGAAGAAATTGAATCAATTGATTAAAGAAAACAACAGTTACCAGTTACAATTAAATCAATCTGTTCCAAAGGAAGACTTCATTGATCTTCAAAATAAAATCAGTGACTTAGAAAATGAATTACAAAATTCTGTTTCTCTAAAAGATTACAATGAAAGTCAAGCCTATTTAGAGAAAACAATGTCAACAGTTGATAACTTAAAGAGTTCTGTAAAAGTTGCACAAAAAGAACTTCAAAACATGAAACAAACAATGAATAATCAAAACACAAAGATGACAAGCTTGCAAAATACTTTACAAGACAAAGATAGTGAAATATCTGATTTGAAAGAAAAGAATTCTCAACTAGAACTAAAGATTGAAGATTTGGAAGGAGAAAAGTCCAAAGATAACGAAAAAATGAAGAATAAAGATTTGCAAATTAAGTTGATGGAAAGTACAATAGAGAATATGAAATCACAACTCAATGAATCGCAATCATTAAACAATGAATATGCACTGTTACAATCAACATTACAATCCAAAGAAAATCAATTTTCTAAGTTACAAAATGAAAATGTAATGTTGCAAACAATGAATCAAAATTTGACAAATGAAAATGCTTCTATGAAAGAGAATCATAACAGAGAAATTCAGAAGTTACAAAATGATCTTCAGAATAAAGAATTCCAAGAAAAAATGATTAATTCAGAGTTGCAAAAGTTGAAAGAAAGTTTGACACAAAAAGATTTACAAATTTCGAATTTGTCAAGATATTCAAATGAAAACGAACTAAAGAACAAAAACATTCAGATTGAATATCTCACGAACGAAAACAAGAAACTCAAAGAAACAAATCTTGATTTAGAATCTCAAATAAGAAAGAAAGATAATGAAATCAATGATATTAACTCTAATTTAAAGAGAAAAGAAAATCAATTACAAGAAACAGAAAACACAAATAGAAACCTTCAAAATGATATCAAGAGGAAACAAAATGAAAACAATGATTTGGAAAATGAAATCAACAAATTGAAAGATTTGTTATCTAAATCACAACATGACAATGACTTAGTTAACAATGATTTAAAGAGAAAAGATCTTCAAAACAGAGATTTGGAAAACAAATTGAAGAACTTGAAAGACAAATCGTCCGAGTTACAATTATCATTATCTAGAATGGAAAGTGATAATAAGAGAAAAGATAATCAAATAATAGAATTAGAGAATGATTTGAAGAAATCAAAGGAGATAAATAACTCATTGTCTAATGATTTGAAGAGGAAAGAAAATCAAATTTCTGAGTTGCAAAATCAACAAAATACTGATTTGATTAAGAAACAAAATGAAAACAATGATTTAATGAACGAAAATAAGAGTTTGAAAGAGTTGATTGCAAAGAAGGAATCCGAAAATGATTCAATAAACAGTGAATTAAAGAGAAGAACATTGCAGATCAATGATTTGGAAAAAGAAATCAAAGATTTGGCTTCAAAGAGAGTTGACGAAAATAATGATTTATCGAATCAAATCAAGAACATGAAAGACTTAATATCAAAGAAAGAAACAGAAAATAACTCAATAAACAATGAACTAAGAAGAGTTAATTCTCAGAATAATGATTTGAAAGAGTTGCTTGCTAAGAAAGAATCAGAGATCAATGCAATCAATAACGAGTTAAAGAGGATATCTTCAGAGAATAATGACTTGAAAGATATTAACTCTAAATCAGAGAATAATTATCAAGATCAATTGAAAAACTTAAAGAATCAATTGACACAACTTAAAAACGAAAATCAAAAATTGATGAAATCATCTACTGAAGAGAAAAATAAACTAAAAGATTTGATCAATGAAAAAAATATCCAGATACAAAGTTTGCAATCAAAGAATGAAGATTTGGTAAACAATCAATCCAAGATAAATAATAAACTAGAATCAATTCAGAAAGACTTAGATGAAAAAGAGAATCAAAATTCAGTTTTAATTTCAGAAAATGAAAAATTGCAGAATGAGTTAATGAGTTCAAAGACTGAAATACAAACATTGGATCAAAAAGAAACTGAATTCAATGATAAACTAAGAGAAATGGAAAGAAATAACAGATCATTGAGTTCTCAAATCAACGATCTTAAAGAGAAACTCAATAATTTAACAGAAACAAATGAAAAGATCTCTGATGAGAACACAAAGCTTAAACAACAAATGAAGATCGAATCAGCAAATAATCAAAAACAACTTAAGCAGTTAGAAACAGAAAAATTGAACAGATTACAAGAAGAAAACAATAAGTTAAAGTCTCAAATCTCAAAGAAGGATAGTGATTTGCAGAAACTCAAACAAGAATCAGAACAAACTATCAATGATCTGAAAGAAAGCTTATTAAACAAAGAAGAAAGTTTGTCAATCTTGGAGAAATCAGCTGATTTCATTACAAAACAAATTGATGGAAAGAGTAAATCAATCAATGAAAATTCACAAATCATTGAACAAATGCAAGAAAAGATTATCCAGAAAGATAATGCTACAACAGATTTACAGAATAAAATCAAACAACTTGAAAGTCAATTGCAACAAAATGAAAAAGATAATGATAAAGTCAAACAACTTCAAACAGAACTAAAAGAACATCAGCTGAAAATCAAGAATCTTGAAGAAAAAATTGTTAAATTGAACAATGAAAACAACTCATTACAAAAATTGATTAATTCCAAAGATGACGAAAAAGTCAAACAGCTTCAAAACAATATCAATGAAAATGAAGCTAAAACGAAGACATTCGAAGATCAAATCCAAAAACTGACAAGTGAAAACAATTCTTTACGAAAGAATATCAATGAAAATGATTCTAAAGTAAAGAGTTATCAAGAAGAAATTCAAAATCTGACAAATGAAAAGAATGATTTGATTAAATCTTCTGAAACCAAAATCAAAGAGCTGACAGAATCATCAAAGAACCAAATATCCGAGTTAAATCAAAGGTTGCAAGATGTCACAAGAAAATCTGATTTAGATTTACAGAAGAAAGAAATGGAAATACAAATTGCAAATAAAAACATTTCAGACTTACATCAACAACTGTTAGAATCAAACCAAAAGTTAAATGAAATTAAATTGCAAGCAAATAATCAGCAATTGCAACTTAAACAAAAGGAAAATGATTTAACAACAGCAAATTCTATCATTGAAACACTTAAAAATGAAATAGAGAATACAATGAATAAATCATCTATTTTGGTCCAAAATGAAATGAACAAGAAAGATGAAATTATTCAAAATCTTCAAGAACAACTTTCTAATTTGAAACAAGAAACAAATGAGGAAATTTCCAAGTTACAAAATGACAAGAATAATCAAACAGAACTCTTGAATTTGATCAAATCCAAGAATGATGAAATTAACAACCTCAAAGAAATCAACAGGCAAAAGGATCAACAAATCATGGATTTGAAGAGATACGAACAAACAGAATTGTTGAACTTATCAAACAATGATGATCAAAACAGATCATCTTCTATTGTTTACAACAGTTCAACATTGATGAAATCATTGAGACAAGTCAAAGAAGATTCTCAAATAAGAGAGAAATTCATTGACGATCAGTTGAAATCTTTATCAATGCAAAAAGATGAAGAAATCAAGAATTTACAAAATAAGAATTCAGAAAAAGATGAAAAGATCAGAGATTTGGAAAAACAAATCAATAATTTATCAGATAATTCAAACCACATCAAAGAAGAATCAATGATAAACGAAGTCAAATTGAAGTCAAACATTGATTCAATGAATGACAAAATATTGCAGATGCAAAATGATTCAAATCAACTGTTCAAAGAAAATCAAAATCTTAGAAATTCTATTGACAAACTCAACAAACAGATTAAAGATTTTGAACAAGAAAATGAATCATTGAAACAAACAATTCAATCATTTACTAAATTAAACAATGAATTAACAGAAGAAAATGAGAAAATATACAAGAAATACAATGATTTGATTAACAACAACGCAGTCAATGAAAACAATCTTCAAGTGATGAAAGATCAAAATAACAAGAATCAAATAAAGATTTTGGAATTGACCAGAAACTTAGAAATGTCGAAATTCAATGATGACCAAAACAAAGACAAAATTAATGAATTGGAAACAGATTTGGCAGAAAAAGAAAAGCTTATTAAACTTCTTCAAAATCAATTAACTGTTTCGTCATCTGACAAAGACATGAAACAAATTTTGCAGCAGAAAGATGAAGAAATCAGAAAGTTGAACGAAAACAATGGAAAAATCAAAGTATTGCAGAATCAAATAGAGAAAATGAAGGAAGAAAATAATTCAAAGACAAATGAATTGTTGAATCAATTGAAAGAATCAGAAAACAAGAGAATTTCTTTAGAAGCAGAAAAGAAGAAATTAGAAATTGAAATTTCAAATCTGAATATTGATGACAATAATTTGAAATTAATGGAGCAAAAGATGAAAGAAATGTCCAATGTTATCAACAAATTACAATCACAAGAAAGTGATAAAGATAGGACTATAATGAACCAAACTAAACAAATTAAGAAACTTGGATCAATTATGACAAAAGCTAAATCATTGAAAGCAGAAAATACATTATTACGAAGTCAAATTTCTGATTTGGAATCATCTAAGACTGAAATCTCTTCTGCATCTTTGAATTCATCTTCTCCACAAATGTCTTCTTTATCACAAAAGAAGAAAATTTCCAGACTTGAAAAACAAGTCACCGAGTTATTGCAAGAAAATGAAGATCTCAAAATGGAAATAATTCATAAGAGTACAAGTGATGAAAATTTGGATTCACTTGAAAATGAGAAACTACAATTAAGAATCAAATCTTTAGAAACTCAGTTAAATAAGATGAAAGAAATTGAAAATGAAAATAAGAACTTAAAGACAAAAGTTAGTTTCATGGAAGAAAATTCTAAGAAGTTGTCATCAGAAATCGAATCTTTGATCAAAAAAAATGGAGAAATGAAAATCAATTTGGTTTCATTGAAATCAATCAAAGAAAACTTTGAAATACTTGAAAAATCATCAAAAGAAAGAGAAGCAGAATATTCCAAATACAGAGCTTCACAAGAAAAGAAAGTTAATGATTTGCAAACGAAACTTTCTACTCTTGAAAATGATTACAGTGACTTAAAGAATGAAAACGAAATGAATGTTTTGGAAATCCAAAAAATTACAAATAATTTGAAGTTGAAAGAGAATCAGTTACAGCGATCACTGGATAATGACAAGACAATGGATTCATTACAAGCAACGTTAAACACAAAGACAAGTGAAAATCAAAAACTATCAACTGAATTAGTTCTTAGGAATAATGAAATCAAAGATCTTAAAGATGAAATTGGAAAAGTAAACAACGACAAAGAAGAATTAATGAAAATAATTAATGTAAATAACACTTTGGTTCAGAAACTTCAAAAAGACTTATTGGATAGAAACAATCAAATTGAGTTCTTAAACAAAGAAATCCAAGAAAACAAAGAAGAATTCGATCAAAAGATTAATGAAAGCAATACAAAGATTGATGAACTAAACAACATAATTAAACAAATGAAAGAAACAATCAAATCATTGAGTAATGACAAAGATAACTTGAAATCAACGATCGAAGGAAATGAAGATGAAATACATAGGATTGCAAACAAATTACAAAAGAAATCCAATAAAATCAATTTCATTTTGGCCGAAAATGAAAAACTTCAAAATGAAATCGAAAAGAATAACAAAGAAATTGAGAATCTTCGTAAAAAACTGAAATCCAATGAAGAAAAACTCAATAACCAGCAGAAAGAAAGTAAATCATCCATTCAAAATCATCTCCAAATCAACAATGATCTTAAGAAAGAAAATGAAGAACTTTCCAATCAATTGAAACTCAAAGAAGATGAAAAACAAAAGCAAAATGAAGAATTTGATCTGAAAATTAAACAAAAAGAAGAAGAAATTTCCAAACTCAAAGATGAAATTTCCAATTTACAAAACAAGAAGGAAGAAGCTAATCAGAACATTATAAATGAAAAAGAAGAGTTAATTAAAGAAAATGGAGATTTGCATCATAAAATTGATGAATTGCAAACAAATATTGAAGATTTGAACAAGAAATTGATTTCATCACAAAGAGAAAACGAGAAAATCATCAATAAATTGAAGAAAGATCTTGAAGAGTCAATCAAATCTCAAAAAGTTCAAGCAAAACTTATCAATCATAGAGACAACAAACTCAAAGAAAATGAAAAAGAAGTTCATTCAGTTTTGTTAGAAAACGAAATCCTGAAAAGCGACATCAAGAAGAAATCGAATGAAATTGATAGATTGAACAAACAATATTTGACATCAACAAGTATCACACTTGCCAACGACTCCAATCTCTTTGATAGACAAGCAAACAATGATCTTCAAAAACAAATTGAAAGTTTGCAAAATCAAAATCAAATGTTAACACAAAACTTAACAAGAATGAGAGAAGAAATTGATCAAAGAAACACAGAAATTATAGAAATAAAGCGAGAAAGAACAGAGACACAAATCAATGATAATAGCCAGTTGAAAGAGAACTTGTTAAACAAAGAGAAAGAAATCCTTCGTCTTAAGAACGAAAATCAAGAATTAATCAAAGAAATTACAGACAAAACATTGAGATTATCAGAAGTAGAAAAGAACTTTTTGAAGCAAACAATTTCTTCTAAGGATTATGAAATGAGCATGAAACCAAAACTTCTTGAACTTGAAGCAGAAAACAAATCTCTCAAAGAAGAACTCAATGCAAATGAAGTTGACAATGAAAAGATTCTTAAACTTAAAGATGATGAAATCAACAATTTGCAGAAAGCTAAAGGAGATTTGAACTTAAAGATTGTTGCAATGGAAAATTCTCAAAAGATTAATGAAAAGAAGAAAGTCAAAGAAATAATTCTTAAGTTACAAAAGATGGAAGTTGAAAACAAAGATCTAACAAACAGATTAAATGATTTAATGAAAGAAAATGAAGACTTAAAGAGAAATATTTCAGATCTGATGAAAGGAAAATCATTAACTGAAGAACTAAACAAGAAATTAGATGAAATCAAGAGATCAAATATTGCAATTTCAACTGAATTGGAAATTACAAAGCAAAAACTAAACAAAGAAGAAAGTTCCAAACGAAAATTAATGAAGAAGATTGAAGAACAAAAATCTTTGATAAAGAAACTGAATGAAGAAAATGATTCACTAAAGAAATCAGAGGAAGACAAAATAGGAAAAATCAAAGAAAATGAAAATAATTTGATTTTAGAAACAGAAAAATCAAAACAAAAAGAAGAAGATTTACTAAAGAAGAACAATGATTTAGAAAAGAAACTCTTAGAATACCAGAAGAACATTGCAGAATTAAATGAGAAACATAAACATGAAATTGATTTGTTGCAAAGCAAAATCAACGATTTAACTAAATTTAAAGAAGATCAAACGAAAGAAATTACAAACTTGAATCAAATTATCTCACAACTGAAGAATGATATTCTTAAATTGAATCAACAAATTGATGATCTGAATCAAAAATTCAATGAAAAACAAAAAGAATGTGAACAAATTGAAACTGATTTAAAGCAAAAAGAAGTTAAAAACAAGAGCCAAACTGAACTTCAATTTGAAGCAGAAAAGAAGAAATTAGTTGAACAAATTTCTTCTTTGAACAATGAAATCATGTCATTAACTAATGATAAAGCAAAACTTGAAGAAGATCAACAAAAACTCATCAAAAAATTAAAGAAATTAAATGAAGAATATCAATCTAAGCGTTCAGATTATGAATTTCAAATTAAGACTATTACAAACAATTATGAAGATGAGATTCAAAAGCTCAAAGTTACTATCAAAAAACTTGAAAACGAACTGGAACTTTTGAAGATTGAAAATGAGAAAATCAATGGAATTCTTCAAGCAAGAGAGAAGACGAATGAAAAGCTACGGAAGTCAATAAGTGATTTAAGAGATAGCTCTAATGATGATTCTAAATATAACGAGATGAAATTGACAATTGCAAAACTCAAAAGTGAATTAAATTCACTTAGAAATCAATCAAAAGAAAATTCTTCAATCAGTGATGACAAACTCGAAAAATATAAACAGATTGCAAAGAGAGCACAGAAGGTTCTTTCTTATGCAGCATCTCTAAGAGAGAAAGTAATTGAAACACAGTCAATTACTGAATGTTTAGAGATATTGAATTCAATATTCGTTAGTGCTAAATTGGAAAGAGTTGTCCTTAAATCTAAATCAATTGAATCTCCAAAGAAATCACTACAATCAGCAATATCTGAAATACAGCGCATATTCCCATGCGTTTCAGCTGTTGTTGAGCCATCAGAGAATATTCATTCACTTGATGACCAAGTTCAAGTTCTTCATCAACAATTTTCTTTATTACGTGATGTCTTTGATAATCGAGAGAAAACAGTTGATAACCTTGGTAATCTTATTCGATCTCTATCTGAGAACAGCTCATCATCATTCATAGAAAACACTATAAATCAAGCAAATGTACTCATCTCAGGAGATCAAAAATATCGTTAACTTAATTGTTATACTTTATTTATATGTTATTATTGTATTATGTTTATTTATGTAAAGACGTACTATTTTTGAACGCTAATCCTATATTTACATTATGTATTATGTGATCTAAGAATAATAAATACATATGTAGGAATAAGTGATAAAAATAAAAATTATTTGAAATTATATAACTTTTAGTAGTTTAATTGAGAAGTCATCTCTAGGAATGTGTCAACAACGAGTTGTGGAACTTCAGTTGGTGGGAAGTGATTGTATCCTTCTTTGAGAATGTACTTCAACTGTGGGATATTCTCAACGAATTCGGAAACAATCATCTCTGTAATGATTTTGTCGTCCTTGGAGTGCAGAAGCCAAACAGGCTGTTTGACTTTCTCCTTGATTTCATCGTACTCTGGGTTGAAATCAAGCAATGCATTTGTCTGGAGTGTGAATGCCTTGCAATTCCACTTTGATGCTTCAATATGCAATTTCTTCACAAAGTCCAATGTTAACGTAGAAATCTCTTCTCTCTGTTGGAGTCTTCTGATACTTTGACCACATATCTGGTGTTCCTCCAATTTTGTCCATCATCTTCTTAGTAAGAACAGGACCACCAGTCAAGAGTATTCCCTTTACAAGTTGTGGATACTTCATTGCAAAAGCAATTGCAACAGTTCCTCCAATTGAATGAGTAACAATCATAACTGGCTCTGTGATTCCGAGTGTATCAAGAATGCATTTCAAATCATCTGCATTCTTTTCCATTGAATAGTATGAAACATCTGTTGGATTTGATAACATACCGTATCCTCTGTTGTCATGTGTGATGCATCTGAAGTTTTTTGATAAAGCTTTGACTTGGTTGATCCAGATATCGTGAATTCCCATGTAGCCAGACTGAAAAACAACTGGCTTACCACTGCCAACAGACTCGTAATATATTTCAAGTCCATCACTTGTCTTTGCCCAAGATCTTATGAGATCAGATTTAACTGAAGACATTTATTAAAATGATGAAAAATCTATTGAGAAAATTTTGAGAAGCACTTTGTTATGAAATTGAAAATTGTGAGAGATTTCAAAATGGTCGGATATATTTGCTAGAACAAAACATATAATATATTTTGTCTTCAATCAAATGATGAAAAATTCGCTTTTATTACAGACTTCAATAATTATTCATTTTGAGAGACTATTGATTTTTGAATTCTCATTTAATTTGATTCTTCATTAAAAATGGATATATGACATAGGAATCATGTAAGAATATAATTTAGCTCTACCATAGTGAAATATAATTAATTCGGTCGAGACGTTTTCTTCAGAAAATTGAATAAACTTTCAAATTTTTATCGATTTATCTTTTTATTCTTCAGCAAAAATTTCAACATTAATACTTCTGCTCATTTAGCAATTATATTTAATTTTCATATTCAGTATTTTCATATTTTATTGACCTTGGAATTTCAAATTATCTTATTATCGATTCATATTGACATTTATTTATGATATCCTCATTAATTTAGGTCATTAAATGTCTGTGGCTATCAGTATTAATGAATTGTTTTAACATATTAAAAATTGAAATATAACCCTAATTAATCAAATTAATTTTCCTAAATAAGTTTTTCAATGTATGATATTTCATGTGATATATCTTAAATTATAATTTAGTGTAAAAATAAATGTTTGTATTAAATTGATTTTTAGAATTGATATCTAGATTAATTTTTAAATGATATGTACATTGAAATAATATATAAAATATATGTAGGTAACCAATATCAAGATGAGCATCTTCAGAAATTTTTGTTGAAGAATAAAAAGATAAATCGATAAAAATTTGAAAGTTTATTCAATTTTCTGAAGAAAACGTCTCGACCGAATTAATTATATTTCACTATGGTAGAGCTAAATTATATTCTTACATGATTCCTATGTCATATATCCATTTTTAATGAAGAATCAAATTAAATGAGAATTCAAAAATCAATAGTCTCTCAAAATGAATAATTATTGAAGTCTGTAATAAAAGCGAATTTTTCATCATTTGATTGAAGACAAAATATATTATATGTTTTGTTCTAGCAAATATATCCGACCATTTTGAAATCTCTCACAATTTTCAATTTCATAACAAAGTGCTTCTCAAAATTTTCTCAATAGATTTTTCATCATTTTAATAAATGTCTTCAGTTAAATCTGATCTCATAAGATCTTGGGCAAAGACAAGTGATGGACTTGAAATATATTACGAGTCTGTTGGCAGTGGTAAGCCAGTTGTTTTTCAGTCTGGCTACATGGGAATTCACGATATCTGGATCAACCAAGTCAAAGCTTTATCAAAAAACTTCAGATGCATCACACATGACAACAGAGGATACGGTATGTTATCAAATCCAACAGATGTTTCATACTATTCAATGGAAAAGAATGCAGATGATTTGAAATGCATTCTTGATACACTCGGAATCACAGAGCCAGTTATGATTGTTACTCATTCAATTGGAGGAACTGTTGCAATTGCTTTTGCAATGAAGTATCCACAACTTGTAAAGGGAATACTCTTGACTGGTGGTCCTGTTCTTACTAAGAAGATGATGGACAAAATTGGAGGAACACCAGATATGTGGTCAAAGTATCAGAAGACTCCAACAGAGAGAAGAGATTTCTACGTTAACATTGGACTTTGTGAAGAAATTGCATATGAAGCATCAAAGTGGAATTGCAAGGCATTCACACTCCAGACAAATGCATTGCTTGATTTCAACCCAGAGTACGATGAAATCAAGGAGAAAGTCAAACAGCCTGTTTGGCTTCTGCACTCCAAGGACGACAAAATCATTACAGAGATGATTGTTTCCGAATTCGTTGAGAATATCCCACAGTTGAAGTACATTCTCAAAGAAGGATACAATCACTTCCCACCAACTGAAGTTCCACAACTCGTTGTTGACACATTCCTAGAGATGACTTCTCAATTAAACTACTAAAAGTTATATAATTTCAAATAATTTTTATTTTTATCACTTATTCCTACATATGTATTTATTATTCTTAGATCACATAATACATAATGTAAATATAGGATTAGTTTTACTGTTCAAATGTATCAAATTAAAATTTTTTGACAGAGAATTGATAAAGAATATTTTATGAAGTAACACTGCTATACTACTTGCACTGGATTGTATCATTGTGACATTTAAGAGATTGATCTCGATAATTCTAAATGTATTTGCCGATTTTCTCCAAACTCGGCATCTTTTATGCACATAATATGTATAGCCTGTAGCTGGATTTTAAGACCAAAATTTTGGTTAGAAGCGAGTGTTAGTACCTTTAATATTTTTCATCGAACCATTCATTGCTCATATAAGTCCATTCCAGTTCAAACTATATTTACGTTTCGAAGAATCAGCAACACGTATATGGACACAATATTACGAAAACGTTTCTCCTCCAAAATATATTACAGGGGACAACCCTGAAGTTGTTGAATCCAATAAACGATGCTTCACATACATCTGCCGATTCATTAATATTCAAGATAGAGCAGTCAATTTCACAAATACAGAAGATTTTTCTATTTTACTCTGCGAAAACGTCTTTAACAAAGGACCAGGAACAATCTTGATTGATAGTAATTACAAAAACAACATTGTTATTGACAAATTTTGTTCATTTGAAAGTCAAACTTCATCTAACGGTCAGTTTACGTATTTTGAAGGCAATATTAACAGTACAATCCTCCAAGGATCAATTTACAATGGAGGAAACTCTTCACAAATGGCAATGATTTACCAAAACCAAGGAAATGCGTCTCTTTCAAAAACAAACATTACTAACTGCATTTGTATTGTAGCAACAGGTTTTGTGTACGAACAAGTTCAATCAACAACAAATGTTTCATTTTGTAATTTTGAAAATTTAGAAGCAACTGAATACTCTATCTATGCATTTTTATCATGTCCAGGAAATATTGAAAGATGTAATTATATAAACAACTCCCAAAAAAGTACATTTTGGGGTTTAGTTTATGTTTACTCAAATAGACATTATATTTTAGATTCTTCTTTCCAAAATAATCTAAAAGATGTAGCTTTATTTTATTCGGATAGAGGACAAATTTCTATAATTCGATGCCATGCTGATAAATTTACAACTTATGGATTTGTTGATACATCAGAAATGACAACAAATTCATTTATTAATGAAATAGAGTTCTATATAACAAGTCCATGTGAAGGAAAATTAATTTTGCGAAATCAAGATAAAAAAGATTCAATTTTTAAAAATCTTAAATTTATTGCATTAATAATGCTTTTCCGATCCAAATGATAAATAAAAATTAAAACTAAAAATAATCTTGTGTTTGAAGAAAATTGATTCTTCAATAAGATTAAATTTACTTGTAAATTTATGTTTCTCTATTGCATAAATAGCTATTAATGTCACAAAAGAAATGAATGAAGTATACATAAATTAAATTCAAATAAATGTGTTTGAAAACAATTTGATTGAATTTTCTTTCATATTAGCAGCCATGGTTTACATTATCTAACTCTCGTTGTCACTAATAGTGTTTAAAACTCCAAATTTGCAATATGAAAAAAATTTGAGGCCGAAGGGAGTCGAACCCCCAACCTTGAGATCTGGAGTCTCACGCAATGCCATTATGCTACAGCCCCAACACATTTGTTTTTCAAAAAATAATTTTTAAAAAATAAAAATAAAAATAAATATTGATAATTTTTTTCTGAAAACCTATCAATTTTATTTTAACATTTCATGTACAAAGTAGTTTTCTTAGGAAACTCAAACGTTGGAAAAACATCATTACTCACTCGTATTATTCAAGGGGAATTTAATAAATACACAGTTTCCACTGCAGGTGCTGCAATGCAAAATTATCATTATGAAATTGAAGGGAAATCTTTGGATTTTCAAATATGGGATACAGCCGGCCAAGAAGCCTATAAATCTTTAGCAGCTAATTATTTACGCGATGCCACATTTGCAATAGTTGTTTATAGTATTATTGATAGAACCTCATTCGATGAGTTGGAATCGTGGATTAAAATGATTCATGATTCAGATCCAAACATTCAATATTTACTTGTTGGAAATAAAACTGACCTTGAAAAAGAACGTCAAGTTACCATGAACGAAGCCTTAAATAAGTGCGAGAAATTACATGCAATTTCTGTAATTGAAGTTAGCGCTCTTACAGGTTATTCAATCCCAAATATTTTTGAAACAATTGCAGAGCAAGAATTACAGCCAATTAATCAAACCAGTGGATCTATTACTATAAAGGCAGAGAAAAGCGAAGACCCATGGAAGAAAAATAAAAATTGTTGCTGAAAACGGAGCAGAGCTATGTCCGAAAGAAAATAAGACTAGATTTATTATCTTTGTTTTAAAATCATTATTATTAGTTTCGAAAAAAAAAGTTTAGCAAAATATTTTTAATAAAAAGAGAAATCTTAGGAATATTAATACTTGTATTGATTTCTTGTCATGATTTATAGCCAATGATATAGATGTGTGTTGTAATAAGATAATTCAAGGATAAAAAAAAATTAAAGTTATTATTCTAAATCCATAATATCTACAATCTTGATTGTAATTTGTAAAGACCGGACATGACGAAAAGCATACTACGATCGTGAAATAGTTTGAAATTCATTTATAAGGGCCTACAACAAAAATACGAAACATTCTTTGAGCTTACTTGCAATGAATTGTATTTTAATTAATAGTATGAAGATCCAAAATCAAATTTATAGAAAGATTTCGAGATGAATTGGATGAATAAAAAGTGACTCATTTTTACAATTAGGCCGTTTGAAAAATAATGAAATTGTAAAATAATAGCGTCTGATAATAAGAAAACATTTTCTTTGATTTTCAATAACACACAATTATTTTGTGAGCGAGGTATACAATTCACAATTGTGTTTTTCACAAGTAATTCTCGTAAGATTATTTTCCAATTTTAACCACGAGCAAATTATTTTAATTCGCCAAAAATGGAATAATCTTACGTGGTTCTGGATTGAATGGATGCTTTTGTTTACCAATATGTAACCATACTTAAAAAGACACTTTCAAGTTTGGTGACGATTAATTCAAAATACGTTTTCTTTCTTAACATATTAAGTTTAAATATTATATAATACATTATTTTATCATCATTTCGTTTTTAGGTTTTCTGAAAACAGTATTCAATTCATTGAATTCTGAAACAATATTAACCATGCAACTTGTCGACTATTTGACTCAAGAGACCACAATAGAAAGTAAAGATATCCTTCTTATTGTAATTAGCTCATGCATCTATGCTGTATGCAGAACAATGATCAACCGTCTTGTTCTCCGTCCCTTGACTGCATTTGTCCCCGTCGAAAAACAAAAAGTTAAATTCATTAACCGCGGCTTTGACTTCCTCCATTACTGTGTTTCAACAATTTTAGGTACACTCGCATTCTCTACAAGACCATATGCCCACTGCTGGTTCTACATTCTTGATTGCAAGCAGTATTTGGGACAAACAGGCAACGCTTTCCAATGCAGTGTCCTTGAGAAGATCTATTATATTTACTTCGCATCCTACTACGTCTCAGATATCCTCTGGATCCGCACAACAAACGATGTTGTTATGTTAATCTTCCACCACTTCTTCACATTGTCACTTATCTTCTCCTGCGTTATCGTTGCTCGTCCAGTTTACGGTTTGTGCCTCATGCTCCTTCACGATTGGGGTGACACCTTCTTATATTTAGGAAAGGTCTTGATTTACCTTGGAAAACCAGGATATGCTGATTACTCTCTCTATTTCTTTGGCATCTTGTTCTTCTGGCTCAGAATTTTCGGCGTCGCTTCCATTCTTTACACATTATATGCTTACAACTCAGAAAACAAGCAGACATTACACCCATATCTTTATTACTGTGCTGATGCCATGCTTGCCTTCCTTTATTGTCTCCACCTTATCTGGGGATGGGATATTCTTCTTGCTGTTAGAAGAGTTTTCAACAAGTCGATTGAAGCTCATGATACAAGATCCGATCCAGGCTACAAGCGCACAAAAATCGATTAAGACTATAAAGAATTTTTTTATACCCAGATTTTCCTTACTTTTACCACTCCCCATGTAATTTCTGGGGAAAACGATAATTCATTTTTTTTATGGATGAATAGATCGTTTTCCTAGAAAGGACCTCATATCTCTGGCTAAAAAGAGTGTCAGATCCTAAATAGATTATTGATCTAGTGTACAAATCCAATAAAAAGCCTATTTTTTTGGCTTTTTTGGTGCTCATTTTTTCGAAGATCTACATGAATATGGGGAAACCATCGGATTTTTTTGGTTAACCCACATCTTCATGTAGTCTGGACTATCTTTCCTCGAAGGACCTCTTTAGGGTGTAAAAACTCATAAAGTTCTCAAAAGATTCATTCTCGATCTCCATGCTGAAAGAATTTACAATAAAAAAAAGATCTACGCATCAAACTACAGGCATAAATGAACTGAACCCCTAAAGCTCAGCTCTTAGTTTATCAAAAACGTCGAAATCCTTCTCATTGCAATCAAATTTTCTCAATAACTCATAAGAAAAATCGAATTTTGATTAAGCCGATGTTATAGGTATCACAAATACTACAAACTTGAGCAATATCGAAATTGCCAGCAAAAGTTTGAAATTGCATTGCTCATATTTGTTTTGTAAACTAAAAATCTGCTTATATTATTCATTAATTTTTTATATATTATTCATATACTTTAATAAAAACAATACTATTTCACCTTAAAAATGAATTTCATAAGTCAATATTATTTTTTTGAAAATGTATCAATTTTCGATTAAAACAACATGAGAATAAAATTTACGCAAAATTATTTTAAAAAATGGTTTTAAAAATTTACAATTGATGAAGAATAAGATTGCAAGAAGTTTTGAAGTTTAATTTTAGGCGGAGGTTTTTGTGATATGGAAAAATGTTCGTTGCTCAATTATCTCACTATTGGATGGACTTTTATCGAGCGAAATTTTGGCTGTAAAGACAATTCTGATATTGGTAACATGGTGATAAGAACAAATAGTCAGTTTGCATGGTTTATGATGAGATAATTTCGATTTAAAAAAAAACATAAAAATTGATTTTAATGAGCAATTATATTTGAATATGCTCTCCTAATTTGAAGGAACTGGTTAAATCATGAATTGATCATGAATAATTTTTTTCAAAATAACAATTATAATTTCATATTCATTATAAGTTGAAAATATATCATAAAGACTTTATGAATGATAAATTCCTAAAAAACAAGTTAGTTTGTTTCTGAAAATAATAATAATAATAACCAATTTAGACCCAATAATTTTTGGCGGGATAATTGAGATGTTACGATTGAATTAAAAAAAAAGCGGTAATACATTTTTACAATGATGAAGAGGCTGGCAACCTCTGAGTCAAAGCACTTGTTAATGCAATGATGAAGAGGCTGGCAACCTCTGAGTCAAAGCACTTGTTAATGCAATGATGAAGAGGCTGGCAACCTCTAAGTCAAAGCACTTGTTAATGCAATGATGAAGAGGTTGGCAACATCTGAGTTAAAATACTTTTCCCAGTGTGGGAGTAATTTGAAAAAAAAATTTAGTTCATATATTGAAAAAAACAAAAGTAAAAATTAAAGTTTATAGGTTGTGTTTTGATGAGCTAATTGTTAAGATATTGTAGTTCTAAAGAAAAAATTGAGTTTCGAGGAAGTTTCTCGACAGAGGAAACTTTCATATCGAATGTTGCCTCTGTCGAGATGTATGTGACAGGCAAAGTGCAATCACCTATCAATATTGCACTTTGCCTGTCAAAAGTTCTTCGCATCTCTTGAGGTGTGAGGAAGTTTCTCGACAGAGGAAACTTTCATATCGAATGTTGCCTCTGTCGAGATGTATGTGACAGGCAAAGTGCAATCACCTATCAATATTGCACTTTGCCTGTCAAAAGTTCTTCGCATCTCTTGAGGTGTGAGGAAGTTTCTCGACAGAGGAAACTTTCATATCGAATGTTGCCTCTGTCGAGATGTATGTGACAGGCAAAGTGCAATCACCTATCAATATTGCACTTTGCCTGTCAAAAGTTCTTCGCATCTCTTGAGGTGTGAGGAAGTTTCTCGACAGAGGAAACTTTCATATCGAATGTTGCCTCTGTCGAGATGTATGTGACAGGCAAAGTGCAATCACCTATCAATATTGCACTTTGCCTGTCAAAAGTTCCTCGCATCTCTTGAGGTGTGAGGAAGTTTCTCGACAGAGGAAACTTTCATATCGAATGTTGCCTCTGTCGAGATGTATGTGACAGGCAAAGTGCAATATTGATAGGTGATTGCACTTTGCCTCTCCAAACTCTCAAATATGCTTCTCACCATACATCAAACGGGCAAATTTCTCCTTAAATTTCTCTTTATTTGAAAGGTTTTCAACAAAGCTATACCTTAAAAATCTGTGCTTGTTATATCTGATCATTTGTGTGTTAGGGGAGGTAAATTTATTCCACTAGAGCAAATTTTTTCCGAAGTTTCTCATTCGATGAGAAACCTCGGAACAACTCTTCAATAGTGTAATGAATTTGTGGTATTTGTCCTGCAAACAGCGAGAGAACTTGTCTGTAATTCGTTTATGATGAAGTTATCTGGATGTCTCTCAGATGAGGAAGGAAGTCCAGAAAACTTCACCATAAGTTAATACTTGTGTATTTCTATGACTCTCTTCACGTCAGAGAATGTAAATTTACTCGAATAGGGCAAAGTTCTGCTCAAGTTTCTCATTTGATGAGAAACCTCGGAAGAACTTTGCCCTAAGGTAATGTATATGTGATTGTTGGCCCGCAGAGAAACAAGGAATCTGTTTGTATTTCGTTTATGGTGAAGTTCTCGGATGTTCTCTCAAATTATATGGAAAATCAAGAGAACTTCACCATAATTTGTTGTAGTTGTGATTCTCTGGCTCTTTGCCGGCCAGAAAACTAGAAAATAGTTTATAGTGGGAGTATGCTCGATGAATACCTACTCACTAAAAATATACGTTATTTTTTGTTTTCCTATGGGAAAATAGTTTTGATTTTTATATTATCGTATGCTTTGTTATTGCATGAATTGTCTATTTTCTTAATAAAAACTCATTTTTCCGTGTGATTCTGAATCAATGCATTCCAAAAAAGCGTTTTCCGCCTTTGAAACGTGAAAACACACATTGCATGAAGAATCAGAGAAGATTTTCTATCTTTCAATTTTTTAGACTTTTTGAAATTTGATAATAACTCTAAATTAAGCTGATAAACTCATAGAGCACATAAAATAACACATGTCTATCATATTTGAATTTTCTAAAAATCTCCAAAAAATCGCGTTTTAAAATTTTCGTAGTTAAAAAGTAAATTTTTCACGATAAAAAACTATAATTGGTTTTTTTTGGAATTCTTCGAGTTAGAAAATCTTCTCTGATTCTTCATGCAATGTGTGTTTTCACGTTTCAAAGGCGGAAAACGCTTTTTTGGAATGCATTGATTCAGAATCACACGGAAAAAAGTTAGTATGGTTATCTTGGGTACTGTGGCACTGCGCGCCTCCGTACACCACTTAGCGGTTTTGACACTTTACGAAACCGGTAACGTATTTTTTACAACACAACCGTAACACCAACTTAACCTTAAATATTTACAAAACCATCTGACACATAAACGACTTCACTAATGACTTCACTAATGACTTCACTAACGACTTCACTAACGAATTCACTACCATCCTCACTAAATAAAAATAACCTTATTTTATTTTTTTTAAATTTTTTATTTCATTACAAAGACATGTCCGACTACATTTACTATGACTCTTTCCCAGAACGTTTCCGTGAACTATTCAAAACTCAAGTAAAACTGAGAAACATGCATTTTAACAAAGACAGACCCATTGACGATGAAAGAAACCCTGAATATATTACAATCCCTTATGACGCAAAGTTCATTGCATACATTCCTTATGGTCGCAGAGGAACGAAAACTATTTCAACAAAGAACAAAAATTATTTCTGGAGCGATGAAGAAAATTGCCTTATCTACATAATTTTAAATAAAGCTACATATTGTACAAAAGAAGGTTGGACTGGATTTGAGCTCTACATATACGACGACGATGGAAACAGACGTTGTGTATACCCATACGATAATATGTACCATTGTTTTCATCAAGCATTAAACGAATACATAGTCAGTAAGGGTCTCATTCCTGTTGAGTAGATATGCTTTATTTTTGTTCTGTCATTTATATAAAAATAAATGATATCACCACCCTCACACGTATGAAAACATAGCACAAAAATAAATTTAGGTGAAGTGGTGAGATCTCACCTCTTTTTTCACCTGTTTTTTCACCCTCTTGAATTCATTGCTTTATAACTCTCTTCCTTTCTCCAACTCTTCTAACTTCTTCTTAAGTTCAGCAATGTTGTCCTCATGAAGTTTAAGAGATATAAAAATTGCTCACATTTGCTCACATTTTGGCACTTTTTTGTACGTTTGTCAAAAAATTGTGAGGAAGATCTCACAAAAATAGTCAAAATGTGAGCAAATTTTGAGAAGTGCTCACATTTTGACATACGATTATTTTCATACGTTTTTTTGATGAATTCTAATAAAACTTCATTACCACTTTCAGAACGAAGCGTAACTTTTCAGCACGTAACGCTCTATCATGTGTAGTGACATATTATTCAAAAAAACTCAGATTGCTTATCTTATAATAACAATTTCATTAGAAAAAATGCACGATTTCACGCTAAAACTTTGAAGCAATTCTTAAATTCGGATAAAAAATCGATATGTATTACACTTTAAACTTCAAAAAATGGTTCAAAATTTAGACTTAGTTTATCTTAACAATATAGCAGATTTTAAGCCGAACAAGTAGGAGTAATAGAAATAGCTCTTGAAAATAATTACAATTAGTAATATGTAAGTCAAAGTTCGAGTATTCTAATAAATAAACGTTCCGGATTTTCTTTACTACAAGAATCAATACTTAATATATAGAAGCAACAGTAA